CAGTGATGGCGAACCTATGACATGCATGTCAGAGGTGACACGCGAACTCATTTTTTTGGTTGATTTTTCTTTGTTAAATGGCATTTAAATATATAACATAAATATCAAAAATATGTCTTTGTTTTACTATGGTTGCAAATATCAAAAAATTTCTATATGTGACACACCACCAGAGTTAAGTTAGGGTTTTTCAAAATGCTGACACGCCGAGCTCAAAAGGTTCGCCATCACTGTCCTAGAACTACCCTACTCGGTAAAAGCCCAAATGCCTTCAGTATATTTTCTTCAAATTTCCAAGAATGCTCAATTATAATTATTTTTATACACAGCTCCAATTTTCTTTTATTAGATAAGAATACTTTCTTACACATTCTTATATTCCTCACAGTAACTGGTTCAATGGTCTGTGGTAAGTAAATAACTGTAGGAATGAATGTGTGTGGAAAGGAACTGCTGGATTTTTCACAAGTTTTTTAAACCAGTATTTTCTGTAATACACAAGAAAAGCTTAATTGGGGTTAGAGAATAGTATTACCTAAATGAGAAAATTTTACTAACCATTCCTTTAAAAAAAAAAACATTAATAAGTTATACACATTTGCAATGTAAAGCATCTAGCAGGTGCTTCAACATTGGCTGAATGTGCGAAATTCTCAAACTCAGAAGCCAAATAAAGCTCTTCTCAAGCTTACATAATAACTGTTCAGGTTCAAGTGTGGCTTTTCAAGAACAAAGGTCTTGTGTCCTCTGCCCTTTTGGACTTTATGAATTTGATTTACTAAAAAATCAACCTGCCAGGCATTCCAACTTTGTGCTAGTTAGCAAGGGTCAGAAAAATTTTCTCAAAAGACAAGAATACTACCTCCACTGCCTTTCCTATTATCCAATAACACCATAAGAATTAGGCCAATAGAGAGATGCAAATAAAAACGACAATGAAGTATCACCTCACACCCGTCAGAATGGCTACCATCAACAAACCAACAAATGACAAGTGCTGGCAAGGGTGTGGAGAAAAGGGAACCCTAATACACTGCTGGTGGGAATGCAGACTGGTGCAGCCATTATGGAAAACAGTATGGAGTTTCCTCAAAAAATTAAATATGGAACTGCCATTTGACCCAGTGATCCCACTTCTAGGAATATATATCCTAAGAAACCCAAAACACCAATCAGAAAGAATATATGCACCCCTATGTTCATAGCAGCACAATTTGCAATAGCTAAGATCTGGAAACAGCCCAAGTGTCCATCAGTAGATGAGTGGATAAAAAAGCTGTGGTACATTCACACCATGAGTACTATGCAGCAGTAAAAAAAGAATGGAGGGACCTGGAGAGTATCATGCTAAGTGAAATAAGTCAGAGAAAGACAAGTATCACATGATCTCACTTGTATGTGGAATCTAATTAACAAAATAAACTGATGAATGAGTGGATCCAGAGACATGGAAGCATGGAACTGAGTGAGGAATCTCGGAGGGAAGACAGGTGAGGGTGGGTGAGTGGGAGGTAATCAACCAAAGACCTTGTATGCATATAGGCATAACGCATGGACACAGACAATAGGGTGGTGAAGGCCTGGGGGGGAGGGGAGCTGGAAGGGGTCAATGGGGGAAAGGGGGGGACATATGTAGTACTTTAAAAAATAAAGATTTTTAAAATTAAATTTTAAAAAAAGAATTAGGCCAATAACTAATCCTAATGTAAACTAACATAAAAGATTCAAAGTAGACTAAATAAAATTACTTTTAAAAAGTGGTCTGAGTCCATATCCGATTTCCATCAACAGATATTAACAAACATTTATCAGCATCTAGGTTTTAAAACACTATGTAGCCCTAGCTGGTTTGGCTCAGTGGATAGAGAGCGGGCCCGCAGTCCTGGGTTCGATTCCTGTTAAGGGCACTTGCCTCAGTTGCGGGGGTTGCAAGCTCAATCCCCAGCCCTGGCCAGCCTTGCAGTAGGCAACCAATCAATGTCTCTCTCTCACATCCACGTTTCTCTCTCTCCATCTCTCCTCCTCCCTTCCCCTAAAGTTTAGGGCCTAAACAATCAACGGAAAGATATCCTCAGGTGAGGATTAACCAAAAAAAAAACAACAACAACAAAAAAAAAACAACACTATGCAAACAGTAACATAAAATCATGACGTAAGTATTTCTGAGAAAATATGGTCGTTCAGGCCACATTCTGTCCCATTAAATAACAGAAAGCAAAGTATCTTCACATCCTTAGCAATGGTCCACCTACAGATCAAATAACCTCTCAAAAATTACATCAACCACCTTCCCCGGTGGTCCTTCTGCTTCTCATACTAATATCAGCATTGGAAGGGGGACCCTTTTTGTATCAAATAGCGAAATACAATAATGCGATTCTCCATTAAACCCAGACTTGTCTTGCTAAATTAAAAATAGTTGCCTCAATTGCTAACCTTCCAATCTTTGGGGTAAACCATTCAAGCACCATACACACACACACACACACACACAGGAAACTATGCGATCAAGTGGTTAGCAATACAGACACGCTGCAGACTTCGGGCGAACATTCCTATCCAGCTTAATGTCCTGTAGTAACGTGACTCTACCAAGAGGAAGCACATTAGTCTCCCCTGGCACTCAGGCCCACATCGCTTGGTGGTGTGACCACACTTGAAAGAGTCACGACGGAGAAGACGAGATTGTGAAACTATCAACAATAAACAAAGCGCATCCGGCAGGCCGTGGAAGGAACCGTAACCATATTCCGCGAAGCTGCCGTTTCTCCTGTGGTTCTGCTGCTACCGAGGAAGTTGTGAAATCCGCATACATACATACTCCATCCCAAATCCATCCGTGGGGCGGGCGGAGGCTGAGTCATTCCTCGGAGTAACTTTATCCCGATCCTCCAACTCCGGGGTCGGGACAAAGACGTCTCCCTCCCCGCTTCGCCCACTGAACGCTCGGTTCGGCCTCGGCCCAATTCCACTCTCCGGTTTCTCAAGTCAAAGGCACCCTGAGGCTCAGCTGAGCCCAGCAGGGGTGGCAACGAGTGAGGAGGCGTCCGGGTGGGTTCGGGCGTCTCTCCCCACCGGCCACTCC